TTCGTCAAAAATAAATTTAGTGTTACATTTCATTGTGTGTCATTTATCACACGCAGAGTTTAGAGTAAGAACTCACAGCAGAAGTACACTGAATCTTGGCAAACTAAGTGCATAGAATTACAGTAAAATAATTTAATATAACATTTGAATCCACATGCCTCATTTTATTGCAGTTATCATTTGATATATTGCAGTGATATTTGCTATTAATTAATATGTGTATTTTCCACTTTTCAAATAACTAAATGAGTATTTTACTGTGGGAGTATCATTTCAGAGACATTGTATCTTGATATGCATAACGTTATAAATTGTGTATTGTCTCACCCCTTCTAACCTTGTGGGTATCCTTGTGTAAACTGCTGTCCAGGAGTGGAAATTGGAGGAGCTTGAAAATTGTGATGGCTTCCTTCAGCTGTTGGGCCTTCATATATCGCTCCATGAGACCTGAAAGACATAAAACTTAAGCATGAACATTCTTACTGCAATAGTCAATACGAATGATGTCTCTTATTAAAACACCCAATAATACAGTGCAATGACATGAGAAGGCTTACCTTTCATCAGACTGTAGATGTCTCAGCTGAGGAAGGGTAACATAGGCTTATCTGTCTGGACATCTCACGTGCAATGCTGTTTAAGATCATCACCTTTGGGACAAAAAGAGGATCCTGTGCACTGTTCTTCCCAACCTCAAAAGATGGAGTCTTCAGATTTGGTAGCTCTCCCTTGCGCACCAGCTCTACATAGGCTTTCACATGGGACCAAAGCTGCAAAGCGTGGTCGGAAACATTTACATTTTCAAGCCAGTGGTGTCTGCAGAACTTGAGCGTTGCAGTGCTGCATCCAGTTCTGTCAACAAAATCCTCTTGGCGAGCGGGGCAGTCATGAAATAGCCAATACAGGCTTGACAGGATGTCCTCGATTTCCCAGCCTGTAGCTTTTGCTCCATCTCTAAATGAGTTATGAACAATGTGTAAACCACATGAACCAATGTTGAGAAGCTCCTTGTCCACTTGCTTATTCATCTCCTTTTGAGTCAGTTCAATAACGTTCCAATGAACATGTGGCCCGTCCATGGACAGTTGCAGGAGACTGCGCAGCCCACGTCTCGGATAGAATATTGCTCAGTTTTTGAATTATATCCTGCGCCGTTGAGCGTCCCAAAAATTCAGAGCCAATATATTTAGTTTTGACCTCTGGTCCATCCCACAGTCTAACATGAATGCCCATTTGTTTCCACTGCAAATGTTTGTTAAGACTTTCATCGAATTAAACAACATATGGCGATTGTTGCGACACGTCCTTCAGTATCAGCTTCTTAAAATATGGGGCTAGTCCATATGTGCACACATAGCTGCATTTTTCTCACCACATGCAAATCTCCTATCAATCTGACTGTCAGGAAGCATTGCCTGGAAAAGAGGAGCTACGTCTTGTGATGATTTGTAAGAGTAGTGAGAGTTCATTACTTTTAATGCCCACAACACTTCAGCTTTGAGAACTTCTGTGACTGTCTGCCTTGTTGTGGAAATTGCAGCCGCTGCATCAACAACCGTCTGTCTCGGTGCAGAGGAAACTGCACGAACACCATCTTTGCCTGTTTTAAAAAACTCGCCCACTGACAGGCTTCTGCAGCGTTCGGCAGCTGCAGCGTGTTTTTTCCCTTTCATGTGGCTTACCAGCTCCGCCTCTCCCATGCCGCTTATATCGAAGGACTTGGAGCAAAGTCTGCATTTTGCGCGTTTCTTGTCAGGGTCTTTCAGTAGCCACAGTTGATACTTCTCCTTGAAAAGCCACTCGTTGTTAAAACTGCACTTCCCCGGCGTTTCGTAGCATTTTAAAATCCACGTCGGATAACAAGTTGAGGCACCGCCAAACAATGAACACGCGGCCTACTTTACGGTAACGTAAACTCTCATCATAGGCCGTCAGGTGAACCCCATTTTCGTTCCTTTTTTTTTTTTTTTTTTACCGTGTCCTGTCTGGCTGTGAAGCAAGCAGAATTGATGTCTGAATGCTGGTAACAAGCCTTACAGATTTACTCTCAGGTGGAGCATCAAAGCGTCTGCTTTTAATGTCACGCCTGATACTTAAAACTTTATTGTTATTGTTGTTGAATGCTTTGTAATTCCGACCAGACACGGAGACAGAGGTGAAAGAGAAAGGAAAAGAAAAGGTGGGGAGAGAGCGAGAGAGAGAGAGAGAGGGGGGGGGGGGGTGTCCACAAAAATAAACAATGAACAAGAGTCTGCTTCTAGACCTGCAGAAAAAAAAAACAAAAAAAAAAGCAAAAGGACAAAAAAAAAAGGGACACAACAACAATACAACAAGATCTAGCTATCACTGCGTCAACTTAATGAAAAAATATATAATCAACATTGCTTAACTGAAGAATCACGATAATAAATCACAGTGCATTAAGTGCCCACAATAGTCTTAAGACCTGTGTTTAACGTGCCCAAGCCCATACTTTTGAGAGCACCATGTGAGCACCTGTGTGTGTACACGCGCTTTTTTATTTAAAGTTTCTCTATAGGAGCGTCCAACAGAGTGTGAGGGACCACAGATCCGCCCCCCAAAGATGTGCAGGAGACGGGGGGAGCTCCAAGTCCCAGAGATCCAGGCGCTGCCCCAGAACACAGGAACCCCAAGGAGACTGCAACCAGAAAGGCCCCCCACCCCCCTCGAGAGGCACAGAGGATCGCCCCGGGGGGCCACAACCAGCAGCCGGCAGAGTCCCGGGAGACATCAGCGGCAAGCCCACAGGCCCGCCCGCAGCCTCCCACCCCCTAGCCGGCTGAGCCCGGGACCTAGCGACCCGGGACCCAGGGGCGACCACCCCCGCCGGGGACCCAGCAGAGCCCAGGGACCCAGACCCCACCAGGCAGCCACCGGGATCTATCAGGCAGATGCCAAAATCTTAAACCCCCAGACCCGGTTGCCACGAACACTCAGGCAGACCAAGGCACAACCCCTCACACCAGGTGTGGCAGGGGGAGGGGGACGAAGATCTATATCATCAAGAGAAGTTCCAGGAGAAGGGAGGAGTCAAAGGCCCCACCTGACATATACAGTCATACACAAACACAGTCACACACTCCCTCCCTCCCTCATGCTCACACATGCACATACAACCCAAGACTTACAAAAATGCATGCCGGACACCCACTCATGCTCCCCATACACACCCTATTCACTCTGGTCCTGGTACTGCTGCACATTTGGTACAACCATCACCGGTAACCAGAGTTTGACCCTTTCTGCTGGGGTGCTGATGAGCAGGCTCCCCCGTCCAACTCTAAGCACAGCAACCTACCACCCCAGACCCCAACCAGACGGCCAGATCTCCCTCCTAGCCTCCAGCCCCAGGAAGCCAAGCAACAACAGAGGTGGCTAAGACCCCTAGTCTCCCTCCACCTGCTCCAATATAGTGTTGTGTGATCATGAGGTGTATTCCATGGCTGTGGTGAGTGGGCAGTGCGGGCATCATCCGGCCTACTCACACCTTCAGCCATCAGTGTCTAAGTGCGGTTTAAAATTGGAAGTGGGCACCGGCACACAGGAGGAGGCTGAGATATCCCCCTGCCAAATGCCGTTGAATGTGCTCACTCCCAAGGCCCTAAGTGTGTGTTTGCGTGGAATGTCATTGTTGGAAGTGTTTAAGGTGCAAATAGAATTGGGGGGCAGGTTGCCACAGGAATGCGGAAATGGGGTTCATACCCGCACTCCCTGACTTGCCCACCCCCCAAGGTCCTATGTGTATGTTTGTGTGATGATGTGAGGGAGCAGGAGGAGAGAAATATGCGGGGATGGGGAGGAATGGCTGGTTGGGCTTAGCCCTCCAGGGAGCCAGCTCCCCTACTGGCCCCAATAGGCACCTCTGTTGTCAAACTGCCACCCAGGGCATGGAGACTCCAGCCCATCCTGCCAAGGCCCAAAGCAGCAGCATTACAGAGCCCTACGGAGTCCGAGGGCACCAACCCAGCCCCACCCCAGCAGAATATCTATTCCCATCCCTGCATTTGCACAACTTCCAGAATATATGACATGGGACATCCAGGTAAGGTTGGGTCCTCCCCCTCCTGGACCTCCACCTCCCCTGTGATGGAACGGCAGAGGAGCCAAGGCCTACCCGAGTCCCCTGAACCCGGGCCAGGCACTGCTGCGTGTTTCTGCCTTCTTCCCGGCAGCATACATGTCAGGACCCGACCCCCAAGGCCCCGCCCAGATCCCCACACGGGGCCGGCCACCCCCCAAACCCCGAGCCCCAGGCCCCCACCCAGACCCGCCCAGGGGCAATGCAGCTGCCAGGCAGTGACCCATGGCCGCCGCCAAGACCCCCAAGGGGCCCTACTCACTACCGCCAGTAGTCCACCCCCCATTTTCGTTCCTTCCGAGCTCTTGTGGCCATTTGCTTCATAAAATTACATTCATATGTTTTTCAAAAGTAAACTTTTCCTTCTTTTGGTAAAGCCATTTTATTACGATCGATGTTTTAATTTGGGACTAGTTTGTTTTGAGAGTAATGATACGTTGGCAACTCCGCTCACACGTGATCGTTTTAGCGCAATGCGGTGCACGCATTTAGTAAACAGAAATCGAACGTGGCGGTGCACACGGAGCTGGACAGTAGCAGAAAGAGGCCGTCACGTTGCACTTCTGTGGCAATGTAAATTTTAATCATAGTATGCCATTGTATTTTTAATATTTTACACATCCAAAATATTATCCGAACAATATTTCAATGACTTTTCCAAAACTTTACAGAGGATATCATTTTTCAGGAACTTTTCAAGGACCTAGAAATTGCATATTCAATTTCCATAACTTTTCCAGGTTTTTCATGACCGTACGAACTCGGTCTACTCTGGCGGTTTGGGGGACACAAAGAAGGGCCCCATGGGCTGGACATGCCCCACAGGCCTTTATTGAATACCGCTGTCACAGACCTTTAAAAACATCAGAAATAACACCACATCCTCTGGTTGATGAAAGTATTTTGTGTTTTAAAAATCATTTATTAGTTACAGTTAAGACAGCTAGAGTAGGTTCCAGTCCTGAAAAGTCCATTATGAAACCGCTAAAGGAAAACGTGACAATAACACAAGTTCAACACAAAGCTTCATGTCCTCATAATTTTTACTTTCAGATTCTTTTAGGTGACAAAAATGTAAAATTTCTTCATCTAAAAACCATTTTTAAAACCAGAACATCAGGCCCGACCGCACCAACCCAGCCCTCCTGCAGGAGCCCAGAGTTACTGAAGCTGTGAGAAATCTGTCCTGTCCACCCACAGGGACATGTCCTCCTCTGGACTCCACCATGCAGAAACAGCTGGTGAAACCATCTGCACTGGGATGTTAGCTCAGCCAGTTCAAATCATTGTCATCATCATCATCATCACCAAACAGAGGCGCAGGAGGGGGACGTCCCTTCAAGCTCTGGACACAAACGGGGGACAAGGACATGTCAAATGCCAATCAGGAAGATTAAAACTGAGCAGAATTAGAGACAAAGACAGGATTTGAGTCAGGGTCTTTCTCACCAGGTCATCCTCCTCTTCCTCCTCATTGGGAGCAGCGACGGGGTTAGCAGGAGCTGGGATCTGGAAAAATGGCTCTTCTCCATTGTCCTCATCAGTTCTCCCAGTCAAACCAGGAGAACTGCAGAGTAGGACGAAGAACGGGGTTAAAACAGAGGTTAAGGAAAAAGAAGGACAAGAATCAGTTAAGATCAGATGTTAGTCCACAGAGACACGTCCACACGAACACGAATGACATTTTTGCGTACTCACCCTGGGTTCTGTTCAGAGCCGTTCTGAGAAGCCGTTGGTGGAGGAGGTGGGTTGACGGGAGGTCCAAAGGCCTTCTGGAAAGCAGCAGTTGTTTCTCCAACGTTCTCCGAGTCTTCCAAACTCCTGACGTCTACCTCGCTGCTCACTGCAGCAGGTTCCTGCTGACTGTCCCGGATCTGCAAACCCTCCTCAGGTCTATCTTCAGTATCCGCAGACTCCATTAAATCCTCTTCTACGGGGGTCTCAGAAACAACAGGTTGGTCCTGCTCCTCCATGCTCTGCACACCTGCTGTCTCCTGGGACGGGAGATCAGAACTGGAATCTGGGTGGACATCCTCAGCCTCTGTAGTTCTGACCTCAATCGGTGGCTCTGACTCAGTCTCCTCTTCTGCCTTTAATTCTTCGACCATCTGGACCTCGTTGACTGGATGGTGATCAGAGTTGGCCACATGCTCCTCCTCTTCAATGTCTCTCTCTCCATTGATGTGTGTGTGATCAGATTTCTCCATTTCTTCCTTTTCTTCTACCTCTTTCTCCTCCTTGGTTACTGGTCTTGTTGAGGAATGACCGGTGCCAGTGAGCAACTGCAGAGTTACATTCTGGAAAGATAAAAATCCTCCTGTGTGAGTCGTCCTTCATGAGAGCTGAATTCTGATTGGCTCTGAACCAGTTAAACTGGCTGCCACACTGCTGTTGTTGCTAATTCATGTTTTCATCTGCTATTCTGATGGCAAATGGGTTGGACAACAAAAACTATTCCGTGGAAGGATTGTTACGGTTTCCGGTTCAAATGGCACAGATTGAACCCACTCTGTGGTGTCTGTACATAAAGCTCTGTAAAATAGTTATTCACTTTATCAAACTCTACCTTTGTACAGCTTACGTCAATATGTAGGACTATTAATTCATTGATGTTTGAAGCTACTGCTGCCGCTTTCCTAAGAGGTTTTCATCCTGAGCTCAAAAATTTTCTGGCGGCAAAAAAATGTTTCATGTCTATTTACACTTAATCAGTGACACATATACTAATATTGACACATCTCAACAAATCCCACAAGAGTTCCCTTTAAAACGAGTCTAAAGGTAATCAAATAAATGTCATTTTCAAAAAGCTTTCTCAAAAAAAAAGGCCCAAAGTTAAGCCTTGTCGAACTGCTTTCATCCTGGAAGAAGGATGTGAAACTCGCTAAACTCACAGCCTCTACACCTTTTCACACAAAACCTAAAGTAACATTCGCTGCCAGTCAAACATGAGTTCCTTTGTTGTCATCAGAATGTGTTTTTAATTCATGAACATCAAATGTCAAATCCATCTCACATAACAAACGGGATCAGAAAATAATGCATCACTTCATAGACTCCCATTCGTTTTCTTTGGCCGTGAGCATGGTTTAGGCTCTCTATTGGTGAGGGTTGGAACCATAGACAAAATCGGAACCAGGCCGACGATGGCACAGGAGCTAAGTGCTTTCCACTTGATTGGAAGTTTGCAGATTCAAGCCCCGCTTAGTCTATTGCTGTTGTTGTGTCCTTGGGCAAGACACTTAACCCACGTTGCCTGCTGGTGGTGGTCGGAGGGACCAGTGGCGTCAGTGCTCGGCAGCCTCTCCTCTGTCAGTGTGCCCCAGGGCAGCTGTGGCTACAATGTAGCTCATCCCCACCAGGGTGTGAATGTGTGTGTAAATGGGTGAATGACTGATTGTGTTGTAAAGTGCCTTGGGGTGTGTTCCAGGACGCTAGAAGGCATAATATCAAATACAGCCCATTTACCATTTACCAACATAGACAGATCTTTGCCTTTCAGCTCAGGGCCATAACAGGCTGGACCTGTTATGATGAAGTCCTGATATGTCACTCCATATCTCCTACCTCATACCGTCATTCGGGAATAAGAATCAGAATCAGAAAAGGCTTTATTGCCAGCGCTCCAGCAACCCAGAGCATAGGAAATTGACTCCGCAGCACAGCCTGACCAAGGTTACACACACACATGTAGACAGAACAGATACAGGCAGACCACGAGAGCAGCCATAACGGCGCTCATTTCAATTAGATGAAAGGGGGATTACATGAGGATAAATTGGAGGAGGGAAAAAAAGGCATACCAGAGTTACTACCGGCAGGGCGTAGCTTTACTATGCAAAAAAAACGCCTCAAACATATAAGCACGAACATCAACAGTTCACAACATGAGACGCCGAGAGGAAGGCTGCGGGTGGGGTGTGTGTGTGTGTGTGGGGGGGGGGGGGGGGGGGGGGGGGCTGGGATCCTGTTTCCCCAGCGAGAGCAGCCATGTATGGCGCTCAGCCACTGTAGCCACAGGTGGGAGGGAGATCTTGGGAGGAGCTCAGAGCACATGGACTCCTGCAGGTTGATGACCTCGCCTGGCTGAAGTCCACCAATACGAAGGCGGGGGGGGGGGGGGGGGGTGTAGGTCGGGTTTTCAAAGCATTTGTCTGCATTCCTTTGTGGGGGTTTGTTGTTGGCCTTCACAAGGCTGCCATGGCGTCAGATTCGGATAACAAGACTTTGTTTGGGTCAGGCAGAGATAATTTTCCTCTCTGCCTTCAAGTCTGTAACTGATCATTCAAGTCCTCCAGTGAAGCCAATTCAGATTTTAAACATCTCCACACCGTCCGGTGACCCTCTCCGAGATGACATCCATTTTGCGCACTAATACCGGTAACACAGCTAGAACGCTGTCCAGCTTACGATTCACCTCGAGTAACGTCCCAGTCTGTAAGGTCTCCACACGGACGGTGCTTTCCGTGGGTGTGGGTCGCCCTCCAATCGCTCCAGAAAACCAGATATCCTCCCACTCCAATCAGAAGAAATCCAGTGATCATCAGGTCAAACATCCACACATCTTCGACGTCCTCAATGGACAGCTGGGAGAGGCATACGATCCTCCATTCTTTCCAGGAATCGAGCATATACCCCGCCGGGTGTGTCCCTTGCGGGCAAGTGGGAGCCCCCTGCTCCGTTCTCATCGTTGAAAAAATCATATCAATCGCGTTGAATGACCAATTAATTAAATCCATTTCTAAAAAAATAGGGTTTTTCAGGAGAAGTGCAGAGAAGCGCTCTGTGGGCAGACAGGACAAAGAGCCTTGGGAAAAAAGATAAGGGAGCAAAAAGGGAAGCGTCTGTACTCTGCGAGTGCCAGAAGAGACAGATGAACCTAGACCCAGGAAGAGACCTTCTCCAATCCTGGAAAAATGCTCTACCCGAGAACCAGGACTTCATGACACTCTTGCTTCACAGCTTCACCCTGAAGGTCGAGATTATTAGACACCAGCAGAAATGCATAGATCTGCAAAAGCACAAATGAGTCCCTGAGGTTCCCAAACCAAACCTGGTTCGATTTCCCAGGATCTGTACTTCCCGAAAGACCCATCAGGAACCTAGCTAGAACCCTTTCAAATTTAGGTTCAAGGGTCAGACAGAGTGTGAGACACCTTTGGAAAGGGCTTCAGATCAAAACTTCGTAATCCCCTTTGAATGAGGTGTAGCATGAAAAGTGCTACATGTGTGTTTGTGTGACCCATGTGACCCAGGCAGATGGAAAACATCATAAGTGTCACCCCGGGTTTCCACGGGAGCCGTCAGCAGCACGTTACTGCAGCAGCACGTCTTGCTCGCGTAAGCTGCTGCTTGGCCCTTCCCACGAGACGCGAAGCAGCAGGGGAGCAGCTGTCACCGACCGAGCACGAAGTCACACGAGTGACTTCGTCAGTAAACACAACAACAAGCAGGAGAAAACTACAACATGGTTTGTTTTATGTTCTGTCCGTTTTATAATCGCCAATACGGACCTGAAAAACAAAGGAGACCGCTAGCTAGGTGATAACTTCTCATGGGGACGCACAGTTAGTAACCTTTTTTAAAAGTAAAGCAACCGGAAAGCAGTACGCTCTTTATTCTGAAAATCTCGGTAGCTTCTCTCCATTTCCGCGTCCGATTTCCTGTCTTTCCTTCCCCAAAAATGTCGAACTTGACCCGCTTCAGAGGCGTCGCGCGTAGAAAATAGAACCGGCGCGTAAAGGCCGTGACATGCTGCTCCTGAGACGCGGCCGACTCGCGCTGCTGATGGCTCCGGTGGAAAAGGTTCTGTTGACCACAGCGGTTCCTATCAGCAGCTATGACGTGCTGCTGCAGTAACGTGCTGCTGACGGCTCCCGTGGAAAGCCGGGGTCAGATGAACTGATCCTGACCAGTTATTGGCTGAGTCTAGTTTAGACAGGAGTTAAGTTTAGCCCGCTGAATTCTTCTTGACTAATGTAACTTGAAGCTCTTCTAGACGGTCACTAAAGCATGAGGCTAATGTCCATGCTAACATACCAGACTGTCACAGAAAACAAGTCTGCGCACCAAAGGACTTACTTTAATAGTAGTGACGATGACCTCCAGCACAGCCTGACCACTGTAGGACTCATGGAGGTCAAACTCCACTCTCAGAGAGTGAAACACTCCATTCATTACACGCTTCACCTGCAACAACACAAAACTGATCACATATTCACACAATAAATACTTAAACAACATTAGGAGTCATTAAAGATCTTCCTGTGGGTCTGGCGGTCCTTTGTTATGATGTCTATCAGATTAGGAGGTAACAAAAATATCAGGAGGTAAAAATTGAGTTAGAGGCTGGAAGGACCCCGTCTCTAATGAGACATGGATACATGTTAAGACTAGAAGACATGCTCACTTCTGATGCTGTGTCTCCAGAGTTCTTGAGCTCCTCCACTTTCTTCTGTAGCTCAGTCACTCGTCCTTCCAACTTCTCTCTCACAGCAGTACCATGACGCTCCAAGCCTGAGTACTGATGGAGGACACACCCCAGCAGTCAGAAACACACACATTGTTCAATGTGTTTGTTTTAACTTTACTCATCAAAGTCACAAGTTACACTGTATTTACAAGGTGCCTGTTCTGCTCTGACCACTCAGACCTTGAGTACATCAAAGCAGGGAAAGTCCTGTGAATGGACCGAAGAGTAGTCCAAGAATAGGATCTAGGGGTACTTCTGATGAGAGATGGGATGAGGACCAGGGGCAACACACAAAAGCTTAAAACTCAACATCTAAAAGAGGTTTGTAAAGGGACACTATGCTACTTTTTTATACATAAAAATTATTTTCTTAAGCCAGTATGTGCTAAAATTAACCTTTAAAATGTTAATGAAAAGTCAATCAGACCCCACCACCCCCTGTGGCCCAAACACTGCACTTGCAACTTCAAAGCATCCGGACAGGTCCCTGTTAGTCAATAGTAACATGCTAGTGCTGGAGTGTTTCCAGAACATCTCCTGCATGTTGTAGGTCGTGAACACAGCAGATTTGTTTGATTTAGTGATGAATCACTCGTGAAGAAACTAATGGAGGAAATGTTTCAGCAGTTAGATTAAGGTGTTAAAAACAAAAACGCACAGGAGGAGGAGAGTTCAACCTTTGGTTTTACAACAGTAAATTAATATCAGACTCGAAGGGGTGCTAAAAGCAAGCCAAAACTGCCAAGTGTGCCTTTAAAATTTACTGACCCAGTAGCCAACATCAAAGATCCACTAAAGAGCTCAGCAAAACATGACCAACAAAGCGAGGGGGGAGGGCACTAACAAATCTGGGGTACCCCAAGGCTCTGTTTCGGGTCCACTCTTGTTTCTACTCTTTATACACCCCCCTTGGACAGATAATTGATTATTTTCTTAACGTCTCCTATCACCTATATGCAGATGAAATTCAGCTGTACTGCTCCTTTAAGGATTATGAGTTCTATAAACTGTCTGAACTACTAAAGTGTCTATCAGCTATCACTAGCTGGCTAAAAGATATTGTCCTTAAGTTAAACTCTGAAAAGATTGAATGTCTGATCATTGCCTATGAAAGCATGGTTCCTCTGATCACTCAAGATCTTGGTCATTTAACCAATGTCAACTCAAACTTGAGAAATTTGGATGTTGTTGTTGACCAATCAATAGCCACATTTACATGCGCCAAATTTCCCCAATCCAATTCAAATCTTGGTTGATCTGAAATCCCGAATCTCGGTTTACATGGACACTAATTGAAATGATGTGATCATGCCGTGTGTTTATATGCACCAAGTATTCAATCAGATTTAAATAGGCTGAGCATGCGCAGAGTTGTCTTTCCCGGAAAAAAATAATTGTAAACAAACGTCATGAAACGAAATTAAAAATGTAAAAACAGAAAAAACAATTATTCCTGCTTTCCTGATTCATTTAATCAATTTAATGTTTTTATTTTGCTCATAAAAGTTACGTTTTCTTCAGTGAATAACTGCAGATATATGCTTTGCCGCATTTTATTGTTGACAATATTAAAAAAAGGGAGGGATATCCTTGTCTCCGCCTCTTGATCAGCTGGTTCGCAGGTCTGACTGCACTATGCGCAGTGCTGAGCGGGGGTGGGGGGTTCAGACTTGTGTTATTACTGAGCTCTGTTGTGGTTTATTATTAATAAAATGTGAAAATCAGCTGTAACTGTTGAGAAAAATGGTTAAACCTAAATAACAGGAGACATTCAGAAACTTTGGAAGACTGTGTTCATCATGTGTGAATAAACCCGCATCTCATCTCCTCTGCGTTAATGTGCTTTTACAGGTCCTTCTCAAAAAATTAGCATATTGTGATACATTTCATTATTTTCTGTAATGTACTGAAAAACATCAGACTTTCATATATATATTAGATTCATTACACACAACTGAAGTAGTTCAAGCCTTTTATTGTTTCTAATATTGATGATTTTGGCGTACAGCTCATGAAAACCCAAAATTCCTATCTCAAAAAATTTGCATATCATGAAAAGGTTCTCTAAACAAGCTATTAACCTAAGCATCTGAATCAACAAATTAAGACCCTTGAGTCTAAACACCTGCAAAAGATTCCTGAGGCTTTTAAAAACTTCCAGCCTGGTTCATTACTCAAAACGCAATCATGGGCAAGACTGCAGACCACTGCTGTCCAGAAGGCCATCATTGACACCCTCAAGCAAGAAGGTAAGACACAGAAAGAAATTTCTGAACGAACAGGCTGTTCCCAGAGTGCTGTATCAAGACACCTCAGTGGGAAGTCTGTGGGAAGGAAAAAGTGTGGCAGAAAACGATGCACAACGAGAAGAAGTGACCGGACCCTGAGGAAGATTGTGGAGAAGGACCGATTTCAGACCTTGGAGGACCTGTGGACGGACTGAGTCTGAAGTAGAAACATCAAGAGCAACCGTGTACAGGCGTGTGCAGGAAATGGGCTACAGGTGCTGCATTCCCCAGAACAAGCCACTTTTGAACCAGAAACAGCGGCAGAAGCGTCTGACCTGGGCTACAAAGAAGCAGCACTGGACCGTTGTCCAGTGGTCCAAAGTACTTTTTTCAGATGAAAGCAAATTTGCACGTCATTCGGAATTCAAGGTGCCAGAGTCTGGAGGAAGACTGGCCAGAGGGAAATGCCAAAATGTCTGAAGTCCAGTGTCAAGTACTCACAGTCAGTGATGGTCTGGGGTGCCATGTCAGCTGCTGGAGTTGGTCCACTGTGTTTTATCAAGGGCAGGGTCAATGCAGCTAGCTATCAGGAGATTTTGGAGCACTTCATGCTTCCATCTGCTGAAAAGCTTTATGGAGATGAAGATTTCATTTTTCAGCACGACCTGGCACCTGCTCACAGTGCCAAAACCACTGGTAAATGGTTTCCTGACCATGGTATTACTGTGCTCAATTGGCCTGCCACCTCTTCAGACCTGAACCCCATAGAGAATCTGTGGGATATTGCGAAGAGAAAGTTGAGAGACACAAGACCCAACACTCTGGATGAGCTTAAGGCCGCTATCGAAGCATCCTGGGCCTCCATAACACCTCAGCAGTGCCACAGGCTGATTGCATCCATGTCACGCCGCATTGAAGCAGTCATTTCTGCAAAAGGATTCCCGACCAAGTATTTTTTTGTATTAAAACACTTTTCTTTTATTGGTTGGATGAAATTTGCTAATTTTTTGAGATAGGAATTTTGGGTTTTCATGAGCTGTATGACAAAACCATCAATATTAGAAACAATAAAAGGCTTGAACTACTTCAGTTGTGGGTAATGAATCTAATATATATGAAAGTAATGTTTATCAGTATATTACAGAAAATAATTAACTTTATGACAATATGCCAATTTTTTAGAAGGACCTGTACACAGATAGTCAGCCAGAATATTTAACTGAGGATGTTTTTCTACTCAACATCAGCCTCCTTAAACTCAAACCAAGTCTAACTGATGTTACCCTGTCTTCTTTACGAGCATGTTTCCATCCACCTGCTGCAGAAACAGCTGCAGCATTCACAAAAACGGGGATCCGTGCTGCAAACCCAAAATGAATCTGCGTATTTCCAGTACAGACTTGAACACGTTTGTCTAATGATTTGTGCAAAAATCAAATATCTATTTTACTTCCACAAAATGCAAGTTCTGGATTAGACATTACAGAAATGGGGGTAGCTTGTCATCATATTTAAAAGCCGGCGCTCGTTAATTAGGCTGTAATTTTTTAAGTCAGGCAGTCCAAAAGACTACAGGGAGGCTTGCTAGCTGTTGCACCCATGCGCAGTGGGCATCATTTTACTCAAACAATCCGAATGGCTGTGTACATGCACGTCAATCGGAATGATGATCGGACAAAACCAACTCTCTCAATCGGATTACAATTTCATTCCAATTGGGCCGAATTGAATCAGAACATTCTGATTGACATATTGAGTTATCTGAATCTGGTGCCCTTGGAGCCTGTGAGGCTGAAGTGATACCTCCCCCCTCAGAAGAAATGTGGAATGCTGCCGTCGCTATGGAAACTCTTTCTCCCTATCCCAGCCTGGGCAGGACTGCGACCGGTGAAGGCCGTGGAACCGTATCTAGGAGTCACTGTGCACTCTAACCCATTATCTCCCTCCCCTGTCCAAACAGAGGTGATGAGCGCTGCCCCATGCGGCTTCAGGCACTGACGTGAGGAGAGTCCCAACCCTACCTCCCCACCTAGTGGATACTTATGTTGTGTAATGTCTGAAGTCTGTGTGCATATCTGTCTGAGGTGTTTTTTGCATAGCAAAACTACCCTCTCTGTGGAGGGTAACTGAAATGCCTTTTTTTCCCTCCCCCTGACTCTATCCTCATATAAACCCTCTCGGGCTCGGCTCGGGCTGCGAATGACCACAGTCACCAATTATTGTCATGTGTCTATATATGTCTGATCTCCGAATTTTGTGTACTGAAACTCTAATTTCCCTCTGGGATTAATAAAGTATTTTTGAATTGAATTGAATTGACATGTTTACATGCAGAATTTTTTATCTGATTGGGTGTTCAATCCAAATAATTGTGCGCATGTAAACATGGCTAATATCTATTGAGGCCCCTCCAAAACACTGGTCTGAAACTGTTTTTATCCATCCATCTATTATCTATACTTACCGTAATTACCCAAATATAGGACGAGGTTTTTTTTTTATTAACAATTATGCAAAAGGGGGGTCGTCTTTTAATCGCCGACTAAGCAGAGGTCGTGGTGAGGTCATTGAACTAAAGAAGAAAAATGGCGGGGAGGAATCTGGAGTTAAGCGGATCTAAAACTAGGCAAGTTAACCAACAGCTGCGGCAGAGTTACGACGCAAACTTCAAAATGATGGTTGTCAACGCAGCAGAAGCAACTAACAACTGCCAGGCAGCCAGAAAACATGGCGTTACGGAGTGTAACGTCCGAAGATGGCGCATCCAGAAAGACCGTCTGAAAAATGCTAACAGCAAGAGAAAAGCTTTTCGTGGTCCACAAC